ATGAGATGTGGGAAGTTCTGGACATTGGCCCTTTCACAAGCTTCTAGAAGGTCAATCCTGAGCATGCTATAGACAACACCAGACCCCATATGATCAGTAAAGCCAAGTCAGAATGGACCACTGAAGAGAGGAGAAAGTACAACCTAGACAATATTGCTAAGGACATCCTCTACAAGTCCATTGATGATAGGTACTTCAACAGAATCAAGAAGTGCAAGACTGCTAAGGAAATCTGGGATACTCTTGAGCTCATTGGAGCTGGTGATGAGCAAGAGAAGGACAACAAACTAACCATAGCCAACAAGAAGTTTGATGACTTCAAACTTCTCCCTGGTGAAAGCATCTCCAAGATGTATGACAGGCTCCTCACTCTCACTGGAGAGATCTCTGAGCTTGGCAAGGAACTCACCACCAAGGAGATCAACCTGAAGGTGTTGAGGGGACTGCCCTCAGCATGGAAAATGAAGGTAGTTGCTGTCCAAGCCAGCAAGGATGTAAAGACTTATCCCACTGATAAGCTCATTTCAGATCTCAAAGCTCATGAGTTTGAAATGATTGAAGAAAAGGAAGATGTACCAGAAGAGAGGACCACTACAGCCCTCACTGTCAGCACTTCAAAGGTAAATGATTTTGACCCTTCAGTACTTTTATCTGATGAATATATGGCTGCCTTTGCCAGGAGATTCAAAAAGTTTATGAAGAATCCCAAAGATGGAAGGAGTCCATCTTTCAACAGAAAGCCATACCAGAAGGTCAAATCAACAGAAAGCAGTGGAGAGCTTCTCTGTTACAATTGCAGACAACCTGGTCACTTCAAGGCTGATTGTCCCCATCCAAGGGTGTCCAAGAAACAAGGACAGGATGGAGAAAAGAAGAAGTACGAGGACAACTCCTGAAGGAGAAAGGCATTTATGACAGAACAGCTAGAGAAAGACCCTCTGTCAGAAACAGAATCCAGTTCTGACTCAGATTCTGATGAGGCCTTCTGTTGCCTTGATACTGAGACAGAAGACCTTTGCCTCATGGCTCATTCTGATGATGAGGTAACCTCTACTTCTGAATCTAATTTTTCTTCGGTAGGCTTAGCTTTTGATTCTGATTCAATGTCAGAATTTTGGGAAGAGTTTAAGGCCATACAAGCCACTTATTCTTCTGTAACAGAAGAAAACAGTAAGTTAAAAGCTGAAATTTTGACTTAAAAAAGGAGGTTGAGATCAAAATCAATCTTCTTATTAAGGAAAGAGATCAACTGGAGACTGAAAATGTTTCTCTTCTCAAGAGAATAAGAGAAATAGAGCCTCTCGAGATTAAGTACAAAGCTTACCAGAAGGCCCAGTCTTCCATGGAAAAGATTGTGCTTGATCAACAGATTGGCACTGGTTTTGGTCTTGGTTATGGCTCAACAGAATCAGGTGAGCCTTCTGTAATGCCTAGCACCAGTGTTGCTAAGGTAGATAAGGTCATAGTGCCACTGATTTCTAGCCCCATCTGTCAAGCTGGTGTATCTGGCACCAAGGTTGTTCATGAGGAAGTCAGACCATAAAAGGGAAAGATAAAGGTTCAACAGAAACCCCTTTTCAAAAATAATGAACCTGGCAGAAAACCTAACAACAGAAAAGGTTTTCAAGACAACAAAAATAAAAGACCATTCATTGACAGACAACCTCATGTCAATCGTGCCAGAAATGATCACCAGAAGGGCAAATATCAAGAGAGAGTTAACTTCAGGCAGAAGAGGTTGGCTGGTCAACTTCAGAAGCCTAAGGTTAACCGTCCCTCTGCTCTTGATAGTATATGGGACTTCTTTCCAACAAAAAAGGCTATGCAAAAGTATGTAAACAGGAAGCATGACCCTCACAAGCATCTGCCCAAAGTGAATCACACTTCAGTTTACTATAACTACCAGGTGGACAATGGGTACCACCCACCAAGGTTTCACTTGATGATACAAAAATGGTACCAACTACCCAGACTCCATGACCCCCCAGGACCCAGCATTGCTTGGGTACCTAAATCTTTCTTTTGATCTTGCAGGAACTGTGTGCTGGAGCCATCTCTGAACAAGAATGGTTTATTGAGAGTGGATGCTCCAGGCACATGACAGGTGACAGAAGTTGCCTAACAGAGTTCCAGAAATGCAAAGGACCTAGAGTTACCTTTGGAGGTAATGACAAAGAAGGTCAAACAAAAGGAAGAGGAAAGCTGATCAGGAACCAGATAATCATTGATGATGTCTCTTATGTCAAAGGACTGAAGTTCAACTTGCTGAGTGCTAGCCAATTCTGTGACAAAGGCTACACTGTTGAATTCACAAAGGACTTCTGCTATGTGAAGCATGAGACAACAAAGGAAGTGGTTCTTACAGCATCAAGGAAGAAGAACATCTATGTAGTTGATTGGAAAATTGCAAAAGATGGAGTTTGCCTGATAGCCAAAGGAGATTCAAAACTGAGCTGGGACTGGCACAAAAAGCTCAACCATTTGAATTTCAAAACAATCAACAAACTGGCCAGAGAACACATTGTAGAAGGGCTACCAGACATTGTGTACAAGAAGGAGACCCTCTGCAGTGCATGCCAGAAAGGCAAACAAGTGAAGAATTCCTTCAAACCCATTGCTGGAGATCTTTCTACAAGCCCTCTAAATCTGATTCACATGGATTTATTTGGACATGTTGAGACTCCAAGCGTTGGTGGCAAGAAATATACCCTAGTCATGGTTGATGACTACTCCAGATATACATGGACTGTTTTTCTATCAAAGAAAAATGAAACTCTTCAGAAGTTGCCATCTCTGTTAAAGCAACTTCAGACTGAGAAGAATTTGAAGGTGAAGACAATCAGATCAGACAGAGGAACTGAATTTGTCAACCAAGTCATAAAGGACTTCTGTGATCAGAATGAGACTTTTCATCAACTTTCTGCCGCCAGAACCCCTCAACAGAATGGCGTAGCAGAAAGAAGGAACAGAACCTTAAAAGAAGCTGCAAGAACAATGATTGCAGAATCTGGATTGCCTATGAGATATTGGGCTGAAGCAATCAACACTGCATGCTATACTCAGAATAGAAGCATGATCAACAAGAATCACCAGAAGACCCCTTATGAACTCTGGAAGGGAAGAAAACCTAACATCAGCTACTTTCATGTATTTGGATGCAAGTGCTACATTCTTAACAATGGAAAGGAGCATCTGAAAGTCTTTCAAGAAAAGGCTGATGAAGGAGTCTTTATAGGCTATTCAAACACCAGTAAAGCCTATAGAGTACTCAACAGAAGGACTCTACATGTTGAAGAATCTATACATGTGAAGTTTGATGAAAGCACCTCTGTTAAAGAGGTAACAGAGATTCTCAAGGAAGTCAGCATAGAAGACAGAACACCAGAACCAACAGAAGAGGTAGCAGACAACCCTGCATTTCCAACACCTGCACCAAACCCCCTTCTGTTGAATGAAGATGAAAACTCTGAAGACGAGGAACCAGAGAGACCAAGACAGCAGCTGACAGAACCTGACCTAACATGGTTAAGAGATCATCCCCCTAACCAAGTAATTGGTCAAATCAGAAGTGGAGTTCAAACCAGATCCACATTTAGAAGAGAAGCAATGCCTGCCTGCTATATATCTCAGATGGAACCTATGACAGTTGAAGAAGCTCCTGCAGACTCAGATTGGATCAATGCTATGCAAGAAGAGCTCACTCGGTTTGAAAGGAACAAAGTATGGGAACTTGTTCCTAGGCCAAAGCACCAGAATGTCATTGGAACCAAATGGTTATTCAAGAACAAAGCTGATGAAGATGGCAACATTGTAAGGAATAAAGCAAAGCTAGTAGCTAAAGGATACTGTCAAGAAGAAGGAATAGATTTTGATGAGACTTTTGCACCAGTTGCCAGACTTGAAGCCATCAGAATCTTTCTAGCCTATGCTGCTTACAACAACATCAAGGTCTACCAGATGGATGTCAAGAGTGCATTTCTGAATGGAGATCTTGAAGAGGAAGTTTATGTGGAACAACCACCAGGTTTTGTCATTCCTACTCAATCCTCTTGTGTCTACAAGTTAAAAAGGCCCTCTATGGTCTTAAGCAAGCTCCCAGAGCCTGGTATGACACATTGTCCCTTTTCCTAGTGAACCATGGGTTTACTAAAGGAAAGGTTGACAAAATTCTATTTCAAATCTCTGTTGCTAATCATATTCTGTTAGTACAAATATATGTTGATGATATTATATTTGGAAGTACTAATCCAGAACTGTGCAAGAAATTTTCTCAAGTGATGCAGAGTCAATTTGAAATGAGTATTATGGGAGAACTCAGTTACTTCCTAGGACTTCAAGTCAAACAAGTTCCAGAAGGGATCTTTATCAATCAAGGGAAGTACACCAGAGATCTAATCAAGAAGTTTGGAGTGGAAGGCATATCATCAGTGAAGATTCCCATGAACACTTCACAAGGAATTGGTCCAGATGATGAAGGAAAGGATGTAGATGCAACAACATATAGAGGAATTGATGGATTATAGGGATCCAAACATATATTAAAATGGAGAGTTGAGTTCAAGAAATGTGTGAAGAAGAAGATGAATGAATTGTGAAATTGAGACTTAGGGTTTACAAGCTTCAAAAGGAGTATAAATAGAGGAATAACGGGCCGGGCCGCTAATATGGGCCCGGTAGCCCAACTACATAAAAGACTAATCTAGTATACAAATGACATATAAGCAGTACAATAATACAAATGATATCCGTAAGATGTGTGTGGGCCGCTGTCCGGGCCCAATAGTCGTGAGACCCGGGGGTCCGAGTCTATATACTCTATCAAGAGTCCCCCACTCTCTGAGTCGAGAGTATTCGAGGCGAAAGAGAGTAGAACTGTGTGCTGATCTGTCGCCGTCTGGTGAGTAAACTTCATGAACAAAAATTTGAATTTCTGCTTCTTTGGTTAACGGAGGCGCTAAGTCACCCGCTCTTCCAGTCCCCCACTCCTTGAGGCGAGTGTAATGAGGTGAAGAGGAGTAGAGTAATGCGTGTCGGATGATGTCTTCAACAGGGGGCCGAGGGTTGACACCTTTTGATCCACGATGGGGAGATGCCTCGTTAAAAACCTCATTAGGAAAAACCCTGTGGGAAAAAATCCTAATGAGGGAAAAAGAGTACACCGGATGCCCCCAAAATGAAACAAAAGGTGCGAGCCCTTCGGCCTGGAGATGGAGCTGCAGCGGTGCCCGTCTGCTGGATGGTCGAGGCCGATCTCCAGATGTGGGTAGCTCATCATGATCAGTAGTCCTAGTCATCAAATAAAGATGACTAAGGGATGGGTCGAGCGACCGTCCACAATATGATGTCTGGTTCATCAAATAAAGATGACCAGAACGTAAGGCCGATGGGCCGAGAGGCCTATACGAGAGCTCCACGTCGTCAAATAAAGATGATTGGGCGATGTGTGCGGCCGAGGGGCCTGCATAAGAGCTCCACGTCATCAAATAAAGACGACGGGGCGATGGTGTGGCCGAGGGGCCTGCATAAGAGCTCCACGTCGTCAAATAAAGACGACGGGGCGATGGTGTGGCCGAGGGGCCTGCATAAGAGCTCCATGTCGTCAAATAAAGACGACGGGACGATGGTACGGCCGAGGGGCCTGCATAAGAGCTCCACTTCGTCAAATAAAGACGACGGGGCGATGGTACGGCCGAGGGGCCTGCATAAGAGCTCCACGTCGTCAAATAAAGACGATGGGGCGATGGTACGGCCGAGGGGCCTGCATAAGAGCTCCACGTCGTCAAATAAAGACGACGGGGCGATGGTACGGCCGACGGGCCTGCATAAGAGCTCCACGTCGTCAAATAAAGACGACGGGGCGATGGTGCGGCCGAGGGGCCTGCATAAGAGCCCCACATCATCAAATAAAGATGACGGGTTGATGTATGGCTCAGAGGCCTATATGCGAGCGCCATGTCATCAAATAAAGATGACGGAGCGAGATATGGCCGATGGGCCTGTAAATGAGCTTCGCGTCATCAAATAAAGATGACGGAGCGATATATGGCCGACGGGCCTACAAATGAGCTCTTCATCATCAAATAAAGATGACAGAGCGATATATGGCCGATGGGCCTACAAATGAGCTCTTCATCATCAAATAAAGATGACAGAGCGATTTATGGCCGACGGGCCTACAAATGAGCTCTTCATCATCAAATAAAGATGACAGAGCGATATATGGCCGATGGGCCTACAAATGAGCTCTTCATCATCAAATAAAGATGACAGAGCGATATATGGCCGATGGGCCTGCAAATGAGCTTCGCGTCATCAAATAAAGATGACGGAGCGATATATGGCTGAACTCTGGGCTCCTTTAGCCTTTCGGCCGGAGACCGCAAGATGTTCGCTGTATCTGAATAGGGGGACGAGGCGGTGGACGCCTATCTGAATATGAGGACGACGACGCTGATGAGTCGGTCCGAATATGAGGACGACAGCGCTGACGAACCGGTCCGAATATGGAGACGATGGCGCTGGTGAGCCGGTCCGAATATGGGGACGAGGCGATGATAAGCCATGCGTCATGTGAAGGCGACGGTCACCATCCAGGAAGGGAATGGCGAGCTTGGTCGCTAGATAAGGACTTCGGCGCTGGGGCCGGTCTAAATGTGAGGACGAGGCGATGATGAGCCGTGCGTCATATAGGGGCGATAGTCACCATCCAGGAGGGGATGGCGAGCCCAATCGCTACAACAAGACTTCGGCACTGGGAGCCGGTCTTGAGATAAATAATCATGTCGCGGCCGAGAGGCTGATCGCGATGTGCGGATGACAATGATGAGGAGCCAGTCCGAAATATGATGACGAGGCGAAGATGGAGCCGATCGTCATATAGAGGCGATAGTCACCATCCAGGAGGGGATGACGAGCCTGATCGCTAGCCCAACACACTCGGCGCTAATGAAGCCGGTGTTGGGATAGGGTGTGACGTCGTGGCCGAGGGGCCGATCGTGATGCGAGGTCGTCAACACTATGAGGCTGATCCAAAAGTCCAAGCAGCGGTCGCCATCCGATGAAGGAATGACTGAGACCGGTCTTGGGGATAGATAATCACGCCGAGGCCGAGGGGCCGATCGTGATGTGCGGACGGAGATGATGAGCCGATCCGATAATATGATGACGAGGCAAGAATGAAGCCAATCGTCATATAAGGGCGATGGTCACCATCCAGGAAGGGATGGCGAGCCCGATCGCTAGCTCAAGACTCTCGGCGCTGAGGAAGCCGGTCTTGAGATAGATAGTCACGCCGAGGCCGAGGGACCGGTCGTGATACGCGGATGGCGATGAAAAGAGCCAATCCGAAATATGATGACGGGGCAATGATGAGCCGGCCGTCATATAAAGGCAATGGTCACCATCCGGGAAGGGATGGCGAGCCCGATCGCTAGCTCAAGACTCGCGGCGCTGAGGAAGCCGGTCTTGAGATAAGATGATCACGCCGAGGCCGAGGGGCCGGTCGTGATGTGAGGACAACGGCGATGAGGAGCCGGTCCTATAATATGATGACGAGGCGATGGTGAAGCCGATTGTCATATAGAGGCGATGGTCACCATCCGGGAAGGGATGGCGAGCCCGATCGCTGGCTCAAGACTCGCGGCGCTGAGGAAGCTGGTCTTGAGACAAATGATCACGCCGAGGCCGAGGGGCCGGTCGTGATGTGAGGACGACGACGATGAGGAGTCGGTCCAAAAAATGATGACGGGGCAATGGTGAAGCCGGCCGTCATATAGAGGCGATGGTCACCATTCGGGAAGGGATGGCGAGCCCGATCGCTAGCTCAAGACTCGCGGCGCTGAGGAAGCCGTTCTTGAGATAGATGATCACGCCGAGGCTGAGGGGCCGGCCGTGATGTGAGGACAACGGCGATGAGGAGCCGGTCCTATAATATGATGACGAGGCGCTGATGAAGCCGATCGTCATATAAAGGCGATGGTCACCATCCGGGAAGGGATGGCGAGCCCGATCGCTAGCTCAAGACTCGCGGCGCTGAGGAAGCCGGTCTTGAGATAGATAATCACGCCGAGGCCGAGGGGCCGGCCGTGATGTGAGGACAACGGCGATGAGGAGCCGGTTCTATAATATGATGACGAGGCGCTGATGAAGCCGATCGTCATATAAAGGCGATGGTCACCATCCGGGAAGGGATGGCGAGCCCGATCGCTAGCTCAAGACTCGCGGCACTGAGGAAGCCGGTCTTGAGATAGATGATCACGCCGAGGCCGAGGGGCCGGTCGTGATGTGAGGACAACGGCGATGAGGAGCCGGTCCTATAATATGATGACGAGACGCTGATGAAGCCGATCGTCATATAAAGGCGATGGTCACCGTCGAAGGCACTGGATACTGCTGTTGCTGCTTGGGTCACGAGAAAAGCTCTGAAGCGGCCATTAATGGTGGAAGCTCTCAATCTAGCGGCGCTGCAATCGAAGTGGAGAACCGACCCACGGTGGGCTGGCAAGTTGGTGGAGCCTGTTATAGCAGCCGCCTGGTGATGCTACGATCGGCGACCGCGAACCGCCGTCCAACGAAGTCGGCGGCTGACCGACAACGGGATCGAGAGACTGGCTGCGAGATCTGTAAACGGGCAGTGAGAGCCGGAGCATCGACAGACCAGCTTCAGCCGGCTAAGCATGACGGTGGCCTGGGTGACGATGATAACCCGGAACAGTAGTAGCTTGTACAACGACGGTGGTTTGGATCTGGAATTTTCAGATTGCTTCATTTCTTAATTTTTCTTTTGATTTTTCCAGAATCAGTTGGACTGATTTCTTTGTAATTGTGATTAATTTTTGGATATTTTGGGAGGAATCTCACTTGATTTTGCTCTAATCTCTCAATGAAAGCACCATTGATGGATTATAGGGATCCAAACATATATTAAAATGGAGAGTTGAGTTCAAGAAATGTGTGAAGAAGAAGATGAATGAATTGTGAAATTGAGACTTAGGGTTTACAAGCTCCAAAAGGAGTATAAATAGAGGAATAACGGGTCGGGCCGCTAATATGGGCCCGGTAGCCCAACTACATAAAAGACTAATCTAGTATACAAATGACATATAAGCAGTACAATAATACAAATGATATCCGTAAGATGTGTGTGGGCCGCTGTCCGGGCCCAATAGTCGTGAGACCCGGGGGTCCGAGTCTATATACTCTATCAGGAATCATAGGATCTCTGTTGTATCTAACTGCAAGCAGACCATACATCTCATTCTCTGTTGGAATCTGTGCCAGATACCAATCAAAGCCCAAGGAAAGCCATCTAAGTGCTGCAAAGAGAATCATCAGATACATCAAAGGAAATCCAAATGCAGGCCTATGGTATCCAAAGGGATGTAACTTTGAACTAATTGGTTATTCTGACTCAGATTTTGCAGGTTGCAGACTAGACAGAAAGAGCACCTCTGGTCACTGCCAATTGCTAGGAGGAAGGCTTGTTTCCTGGTTTAGCAAGAAGCAGAACTCCATCTCAACAAGTACAGCTGAAGCTGAGTACATTGCAGCTGAGAGTTGCTGTGCTCAGTTACTCTGGATGAAGCAACAACTGAAGGACTATGGAATTCAAGCAAAGGAGATCAAGCTGTTGTGTGACAACACCAGTGCCATTGCTATCACTCAGAACCCAGTTCTTCATTCCAGGACAAAGCACATTGAGATCAGACATCACTTCATCAGAGATCATGTTGAAAAGAAGCACATTTGCATGGAACATGTGCCAACAGAGGACCAGCTTGCAGATATCCTGACAAAGCCTCTTCCTGAGGCTAGGTTCAACAAACTGAGAGAGGAATTGGGAATGATGGATGAGATTCCAAGGGAAAGTTGAAAAGGAAGGCCCTCTGTTGCTCATTTGCTGTTAACAGAATACCTGTAGCAGAACCCCTTCTGTTAACTCCTTCTGTCAACCTCTTCTGATCCCTACCCTGGCAGAACACCTCAGCAACATAAAACCTCCCTCTACACAAAAACCCTCTATTGTCTAACAGAAGGTGGTGGACTTAGAAAATTCTGTAAACCGGGTGACCTAGTAAATTATTAAAGGTCTTTTACCCTTTTACCCTTAAAACGGTATCCAGCCGTATAATATTTACTGCACCCCCGTTTATTTACTGCACCCCTTTTTACATTTATTGGTACCTTGGAACCGTAAATTATCTCAAACGTCCACTATCCCATATCCATAAAACCCCCTTTCGCAAACCTAAACCGTTACTGCTCTCATAACTCTCAAGCTTTTGAACTCTTATCTCTCCAAAAAAACTCTCTAACCGCAGTAAACTCCATGGCTTTCTTGAGCTTCTCCGATCTCTCAAAGGAACAAAAGGCAACTCTCCTGAAGAATGTACTGACAGGCATGAGATGCGAACTGGAAGTCCTACCCAGGTTCGCAGAGAAAAAGGAGAGGATGACCTCCATTGTTGACAGACTGTCTCAATGTCAACTGAGCAAGGTCATCTCTCATAATTATGAAGCCTACAGCAACGTCGACACCGTTGAGTTCTATCTCAACGCATCCTTCAAGGATGAAACCATCTCCTCCGTCGTCCAAGGAGAAGAAGTTTTGATTGATGCTGACGTCATCAACAACATCTTCAATATTCAACAAGAGGAAGGCAGGGCCTCTCTACTAGATTTGGAGGATACTGACATCCCTCTGTCAGAATTCAAGAAGAAGTTCTGCAGAAAAGGGGAAGAAGTAGAGAAGGTCAACATCAAGAAGAACGTACTCAAGAAGGAATTTGAGCTGCTCATAAACATTTTCCACAAATGTTTATGGTGCAAGTACACCTCCACAGATGATGTCACAACTGCCAATGCAAAGGCC